TTTATTTTTGAAACATGAAAGTAGGTGGTTGTATTTCTGACATAAAACATAATTTTCCACAGGGGCTTAACCCCTTCATAAATCCCGTATTTAGCATATTTTAAAATTTTTCAACTGACTTATTTTACCTAAATTTAAACAACCTTCACCAAGGAAAACTCAACATTGAAAACGAGTGAACAAAAGATGGAAAGTGAACACTTAGAAGGACAGAAATACCTGTGATATTGGCTGCAATAAAAACTGAAACACTGAAAGATAATTTATTGTGCATTAAAACTAAATTATGCGTGATAGAGTTTCGAGAACTTTTCATTACAAGTCTCTATGTGTATGCCTTTATTAACATTGGATAAATTATTGCCTAACACCGTCTTAAGTATGTTACGAATGAAATTGCGATTCCCGTTACGCTTGGATCCACCTACATACTCTCACTCAGTGCAGGGAGTGAATATGACGTCACAGCGGAAGTGACGCCGAGTTGTGTCTGCAGTGGCTGTGTTTAGGACGAAGGCAGCTACATTACTTCGTATTTTGCCGTATTTTCAACGCATCTAATCGTATTGTTAACATTTTTTTATTTACTACAGCATTTCCTCGGCGATATTGACGCGACAGGTGGGATTTTTCGAATGTAAACTGCAAGGTTAGTGAAAAATTCGAGAACGTTGAAATGACATGCCCAGTGAAATGACTTACGATAGAAATTACGAAAATTACGCATGTTGGTGAGGATTCTTGAATATCTTGAGTGCAAAGACTGCATAATATTCAGAACACGGATGTTGAAATGATTTTGGGACGTTTTTTATTGTTGTAGTGTTGAAGGCTCGAGGGGGTTAGTCATGCCTGGCACAACTAACCCCTATGGTGCGCGTGCGCTAACTAACCCTGCTTAGACTGAACAAACACTGACTAAGCCTTGGTTTTAGGCCAAGTCCACAAAATAAAGTCCAAATAAAAAAGAACACCAGCACAAACAACATTATATAAGAAAAATAAAATTGATAAACACAAAATCATTATAAATTAAAGAGAAAGAATGAATTCAAACATATTATTAGTGGTATTACTATATAATAACCCAACATTTATTAGAATATTTCTTGTTAGTTGGCTAAGTTAGTTAAGACTAACCCAACATTTATTAGAAAAATTATTGTTAGTTAACTAAGTTAGTAAAGACTAACACAAAAAGAAATGGAAATTCTTGTTAGTTGTCTAAGTTAGTCTGACTAAGGGCTTTTTTCTTGAAAACCCCAAATTCCAATAATCAAAATAATTCCAAATTCAAATAATACACTGTTTACATATCATGATACAAGTCGTGTGATATACAACATGTATCATGATACAGCTGTCACCAATTGAATTAAGCTTTATCTTAACATATAATTCTTTGCTAACTCCACAGTTATAAAAAATATACAAAGAATATCTTGATAACCCTTACCAAAGTTAATAAAAGGTGGATTTATAGTCTTGAAATTGTTTTTTTTTTCTCTGCTACCTTTTTTCAGCCATTTTAAAACATTAAAATTTGTTAGGTTGTATGTAGAAGTTACAAACAAAACAATGTAAATTATCTACTGTATCACAATACATACATGACATTACGATACGCGTATCGTCAGCCCTTGTGATCAATATGATCGATGTATTGCTGTATCGTTACACCTCTAGCGCATGCACATGCCCATATTTTCTAAATATTTCATATTCCTTCCTCGTGAAGAGACTCACAATAAATAGCTATGTAAGAAATCTAAAGATTTTCATTGAAAACTATGAGAGATACAGCCATATAAGTATTAGCAAATCAGAATCCGCATTCTTGCATTCAATTTTCATAGTAGCACAATGTAGGAACCCATTACACCTATCTATGATCTAAATTCCATCCTGTTTTGTTAAAAACTAAGAAAGTTAGTATTGTAAGAGCCATTTAAAGTTTAAACCAATCAAATTGCAGCACACTTGCATGAGCGTGTTTTCACAATATCTCATATATTATATCAAAATGTAGCGCCTTGTTGCGTATGACTATGTATTAAATTTCAAAGCATTTCATCAAAAAACACAAAGGTTATTGAGATTTTTTGTGTTAGTCAAACAGAGCAAAGCACACATGCATGCACATGCTTTCTTGCTAATTCAACCACCTCTTCATGTCCACACCACTAATATAAGTTAATACAATGAAGTTCAAAGCATATCATAAAAAAACAGGAAGGTTAATGGTGTTTCAATTGCTTCAGTCATTTCACTCCTTGCACGTGCACACATGTGCATGCAAGTATAGGTAAAATGGCCTTCCTTCTGCACATCTACACAACATGCCTGTTAACCCTAAAAGGTTTCATCTCAATCAGTTGAGTAGTTTCTGTGATGACAGAGAAAGAAGCATTAATGCTTCCAGACTGTCTCAACATGAGTGAAGATCTATGGCTGGCATTAGGTGAAAATGAAGAAGCAATGCTGCTTTAGGTCAATAGACATATGCAAGTTTATAATTCCAATGGGACATGTCATCCTATCAATTAGAAATTTTTCATAGCTGTTTTATTTGTTCTTGATAAAATGTTGACAAATTTTCATGACTTTATGTCTTTCTTTTATGGAGTAAAAGTAAATGTCTCATTAATTTCAAAATAGCCCTTATATAGCAAAGAAAAAAAATCCACAAATAATAAGACCACTACAGAATAGCATTTATCATATAAAACCTGACAATAGATATATGATTCCCCACCCTTCAAAGCTAAAGTGAATTATAAAATTGAAATTAATTAAAATAATTATTTTTAATAAATATATCTTTATCCCAGCTATCTTCCAAAAGAGATTTCAGTCTCTCTTCAGTCTATAACGATACTTTTGGTATACAAGTACCCATCCTGATGTATTTTCATTGTATTTTATTAAATTTCAGTTTGTGTGGTAATGTTGCATACAGTTTCAAAGTACAGTGTCATGAGCTCTTATACAGTAACATGTGATATAAATGCTAATTATCAAAATCCTGCTTCTCAAAATCAAAAAAAAATATAATAATAATAATAATTCAATCAACCGCCAGAGTATTTTTATAAAGTAGGTCAAAGGTAAAGGTCAACTGAATTGTAATATAACGAACTCACTTGCATTGAACTCTCTTTATTTGAAAATCGGTTTGTTTGAAATGAATTTGATTTCTCCTAAAATACTGGTATAGTTTCTTTGCAATAAATACTCGTTTAGATTGAAATCAGTTAATTTGAAAAACTCTGTTAATTTGAAGTGATTTTGGGGTCCGCTGAATACAAAGCTTATAGCAGTTTTGATAACGGTTACATTGAAGTTGCCGATTGCGACGCCTGGACTCAGGTGACTGACTATATATACGAAGTCTAGCACGTGTTAATTTTTAACAGGTGATTTGATGTTGGTGGACCTGTACAAATTTAATTATGTGTTGTATAGATAAAACAATAATCATTGAGCATTTCTCACCGGAACATATTAGTCGCCATTTTTATTTTCTAACTACGGCATTAAGACCAACATGGATAAAATGCGCAGGGATGTCATGTAAAAATTGGTGTGTGGAGAATAGGGCTGTGTATTGACAAAAATATTTCGATAAGATATTTTATAAAGCAATATGCAATATATTGGATTCTTAAATAAGTCTAGCAAAAAGGTCTTGTAAATCATTTAATGAATAAATTTGACAAAAACTGGGTGTTTTATTACCAAATTGGAAGTTCATACATGTATGTCTCACGGTCTTTACAAAGAACACTTCAAATTCAAACTTTTAATGACTGTAAAACTAATATGTTAAAATATAGTTGTCTATGTATTCTGCAATAGTTAATTAAGATGTGTTATCTCCTTAATATTTATTTTATTATTGACCAGTTTTAATTAAAAACAGTTAAAAATTATCTTTGGTGACTGAAATTCCCAACTTTTTCACAGAATTATAAGAAAAACTGTCTGCCCGATACATATTGGAAGTTAGTTTGTCGATACAATACATTCCTGAATATCGATATGTATTGATTAATCAATATATTGACACAGCCCTAGTGGAAAAAGTGCCGGAGTAAATAAACCCACTGTAATTAAGTAAATGGAAAATAAACTTCTTGAATTGAAGTATATGAAGCATATGTTTTCAAAGCTGATGAGACAGGGCTGTTCTATAGATGTGAACCTGACAAATCATTGTATCTATGTGGCAATGTTCAGGATGAACTTTTTTCGTGTGTAAATAGTCTTGATAGTTTTCTAACACAAATCAAAAAAAAAAAAAAAAATAAAACAGTAAAAAAAATTTAGGACTTTTTCGAAAAATAGAGATACATACATTTCTGAAACACTGCATGTAATGTTATGTAAAAAAAAAAATGAATTCTCACATGTATATTTTTTTTTACTGTACAGTCAAGCCTCGTTACATCGAACTTGAAGGGACCAAGAAAAAACTTCGAGATATCTGAGGATTCTAGATATCGAGGGTAAAATACTTAAAGAATAAGTGGTTGGGACAACAAATCACTTCGACATATCCATGGTATTTGAGATATCAGTGTTCGAGATAACGAAGTTCAACTGTATCTACATTTTTTATGTAATTCATAGCACACAGATATAATGAAATTCGGTTAATTTGAAATAAATCTCAAGGTCCCTTAAATTTCAATGTAAACGAGTTTGACTGTATATGGTATTTTACAAAAGCCAAAGTGCCAAGCAATGCAAGTGCAAAGTATCAAATCCATTCCTCTTACAGTTCTGGATATAGGGTATGACAGACAGACAGACAGACACCATATAAAGTGATCTCTAAGTGTTGCTTTTACCAAAATTTTTTTTCATAATTATTTTGTTTTCTTACCTCTCTGAAGAGCATGACAAAGGTTACATAAGTGATAGGTAGAAATACATGTATGGGATGTATTGGTGTAATCTTTTTAGTGAGCAGATTGCATCATGCATTATCTGCCCTTGCTGATCTTTAACAAGGGAGACTTCTCCTGAAATAAGAAAAATTATTTTCAAAAGTAAAGTTACCTGTTACTCTTAAAGGGACATAGACACAGATTTGAAGTTTTGAAATATTTTCTCAAATTTTCTGTATTAATTTATATCATGACATATATATGGCTATAGCATTTCACACGGAAATATAATAAGAACTTATCTTATCTGTAAATTATTGAAACTATGAATTTTGGGACACATTTGATTGACACATCCTTGCACTTTCACAAAGTAAACTTTTTCCTTAATACTTAAGAAAAGTAGGTTTTTTGATGTATATTAATGAAAATTAAAAAAAAATATAATCCAGAAAATTCAGAGTAGAAATGTGAGAAAGCAAAACCAACTCATCAGTATTGTCAGTCCGTGCTTAGTGATGTGTGCAGAGTTTAACAAATTGAACACAAAACAGTTTACGTTCCATCGGGTGTGTTCAATTTGTTAAACTCTGCACACATCACTGAGCACGGACTGACAATACTGATGAGTTGGTTTTGCTTTCTCACATTTCAACTGTGAATTTTCTGAATTTTATCTTTAATTTTTTTCATTAAAACACAAAATTTCTACTTTTTTTAAGTATTAAGGATGAAGTTTACTTTGTGAAAGTGCAAGGATGTGTCAATCAAACGCGTCCCTAAATTCGTAGTTTCAAAAATTTCCAGATAAAATAAGTTTTTATTATATTTCCCTGTAAAATGCTATAGCCACACATGTCATGATATAATCAGAAATTTTAGAAAATATTAACTTCAAATCTGTGTCTATGCCCCTTTAAAGGTCATACACAAGGAAATAATTTCACTATATTTTACTAATAAAGCCTTGATTAAATTAATCAATTAATATGACCTCACTAGATAAAAGATGAAGAAAAATGAATAATGCTTGGACAAAAATTTGAGACCAGAAATAAAATATATTCCTTATGCAGCTTTTAATAGAGAAAATTGATATTATTGATAGGTAAGATACCTTCAATCATGTGGATTTCACATGCTGATAAACAGTTTACACACCATCCAGGAAGTTGCATCATGAGCACCTAAAAAAAGAGTATTCCTTAAATTCATTGATTGCCCACAAGTATAATATTCCTAATATTTGAGTCAAAAATAAATACTGTAGGTCTAAAATGAGAAACCATAAAAGAAAACCTGAAAAGAAATTGTCTCTTTCTACAAAGAACAACAACTGACTAAGTTCATTTTGATTTGCTATTTCCTGGCTCCAAGCTTAGCATGGCATAACAAGGGTCTACTGGAAAGAAAGAGTAAATTATTCATATGGTAAAAAAATTAACAAATCAAACTTTGTAAATACCCGTGCATTTGGTTTTGTCTTTGATTTCGACAAAATGTTATTGATCTCCAAAAATTTTTGTTTTTGTGCGCTGAGCCACAGTAAAATTTTAAATGTTGTAGAACTGTATATCCATATCTAGATTCAGTAAGAAATTTCTAGTCATTTGACAAGTTAATTTCACAGTTTCACCAAAGTTTGATTAACAATGTTATGGTTAATAAAATATTATCCAATTTAAGCTTATAATATTATTAAAGTGCAATTTGTCAAAGTAAAAAATGCCTCTAAAAAGAACAAGTGGCCATGGGCAACAATGCTCACCCGAGTCACTATGGCCTTGCTGTTCTACTTTTTTTTTTTACTACACATGAACACATGATGAATGACATGATGATGTATATTTATTCATATGTAAAAATTTGATTGTCCATTGTGGCCCCACCCTACCCGGGGGGGGGGGGGGGGGGGGGTCATTATTTAAACAAACCTGAATGTACAATAAGTAATGAAGCTTTCAGAGCAATTTCATTTTCTGGCCCACAGTAATAAAGCTTTCACAGAAATTTCATTTTCTGGTCCACTGATTCTTGAGAAGAAAATTTTTAAAAGATGCCATTAAATTTACACCAAGTCTTAATTATTTCCCCTTGAAAGAGGATATAGCCCTTCATATGAACAAACTTGAATTTCCTTTACCTAAGGATGCTCTGTGGCAAGTTTGGTTTAAATTGGCCAAGTAGTTTTGGAGAAAAAGATGAAAATGTGAAAAGTTTATGTCGCCGCTTCCAACAACAACAGTGACAGACAACATACAAGTTTTGATCTGACAGAAAAGCTCTCTTGAGCCTTTGGCTCAGGTGAGCTAAAATAGTTGATGGAGAAATAAAATTTATTGTTAATGACAGTTTAACTTATGTATTTTAAAACTCTTTCTCAACCATGGATATTTCTAAGTGCTCAGTTCAGTGAGTTTATGAACTTTACCCTCTATTCTTGAAACCTTAAGTATCTGTTTCTCAAAGGGTTTTTTTTTTCAGTCCCATCTATTGCCATATTAATAGGCTTATCTCCAGGGGGTCCTCATGACTAGCAATTACATAAGCAATAATGTTTTTGGATATAAATATATTAAAATAAATAAAACTGAATAATTAAATGACAAGATATGCATTCGACATTGGGTGACACAATTGAGGAAAATATTCTGGCATGTTACCCTCGAAGCCATGTGGTATATGTTATAAAGCATACAGTTTAGACAAATAATCCAAGGATGTTTTCATGACGCTTAGAACTCAAGGCTCTACATTAATGTTTATTCTTACTTGTCCACTCGGACAAGTGATTGTGAAATTTACTTGTCTGAACATAACTTTTACTTGTATGAAAATATTTCATAAAAGACCTATTTAACAAATTGAAAAAAATATTGTACATTACAATAGTCTATAATACATTCATTGAGTCTGTTTTTGAGACTTTGAGTGGACACATATTGCAAATTACTAAACTGTATCATCCTATCCTAAAGTAGCTGTAAATCATGTTATATAATTACATGTATGAAAGAAAAATAGTAACAACAAGAAATAGCTGACTATATGACTTGAAATTTCTCTTTGCCTTCTTTTGCTTATCCTTTGCGCCTCTGTCTTTTGCTAAAGCTCCCCTACCAGATAATAAAAACCCAAATTTCCTTCAGTAAAAGTACAGGTTTCAAAGTTACTGTAGTTCTAAGTAGTCAACTGCCTGGTACATCAAATATTAAAATTGTGACAAACGCCTGAAAAACATCAGATATTTCAGACAAGTTTCATAGTACCATTCATCCTGATCAAGTTTGACAACCAGGGCCGTCTTTATTACGAGCAGGATCAACATTTAACTATTTACAAACAGCATGCATGGCATGTTTTCATTTTGAACCTCCGATAAAAAGTTGACAACAGATTTTAATTCTTTAAGTTTCCATGCTCAGCTAAAAAAGAAAATTCTTCCTAGAAAAATATCCCTTGTCAAATTGGACAAGTGGTCAGCAATTATATCACTTGTTCATGAAAAATTTTCACTGGTACTGGACAAGTGGACAAGCGTACAATGTCGAGCCCTGGAACTATGCCCCATATTTTGTTTACATTTGCTTAGCAACCAACAGCATTAAATCTCGAACCCGAGCTATTGTAATATGTAGCATAAAAGCACACGAGGATGATCAAGAGGGTGTTACGTTCTGTTTCCATTGTTTGTTATATTTGTTTCTGGCGTTTGTTATTATCTGTTTCTGATGTGATTCAGAATTCTTCATGGTATATATAGTGAAACTTTACATTTGTGATAAAAACATAATTAAAAAATGTTTTTAAAAAATGTAAATGATACTAGTAGTATAAAAACTCATTTTTAAGAATTTTAGAGTAGATTATAAACATTGAACCTAATAATGGGTCCTAGAAAAAACTTTGTGATATCCTATGATTCAAGATACAGAAGTTAAATTTTAACTTAAAATATGCACATGTAGCATAGCATAAATTTTGAATTCCATCTTTAACACTCAGTTATACCTCGATAAATATTACTAATTAGAGAAGGAGTGCAATTAATATTTCTATCTTCATGATAACACAAATCTAAATAAGTCAGTTATTTTTATAGCTAATTTAGCCTTCATTAAGTTCAATAATTTTCTTTAAATCTGTTCAGAATCAGACAAGTAAAAAATATTTATGCATTCAGACACAGGGTTTAACATTTATAGGGCATGTCTGATCGACACGGACTAGTAAAAGTTTGGTCCTGTCTAAAAATTGAGTGTACATCTGACATGTAAATATAACAAGTGTGCAGCATGTGTATTTTATTCATCTGCACTCATGCACAAACAGGATTCGAAATACCCCAAACTGTAGGGGTCTACAAATACAGTCATGACTTTAATGATTTTGAGTTAAGTTCAAAAACATGTAATTGTAATTGGAAGCATTCTATCAATACTAATATGTCAAGTTTCATCCACCAATATAATGCTACGACATTGACAAGAAAAACGATGCGTTTTCTACATGGGCATTTCTTCAATCAATTTGTTTATGTACCAGTATAAAATTATAAGAATCCTCTTGGGTTTTAATGTGATGGAGAAGGGTGAATTTAGTCGCCGGGATGTTGTAACGTGGTCTTAAAACTCTTTAAAAGCTTTGGGGCACGAACTACTTTGAAATTGGTTAAATAATCTAACTGCGTCTCCAGACGAGCCCTCACCACACCTCACTTAAACCAGTAAACAGCTGTTAAACCAGGTCTGAAGCACAGTATTATTTTAATGATTAGAAAATTCTATCTACGACTACTTCCTCTTCCAGATGATTGCAGTCTATTGCAGTGCAAACAAAAAATGAGTTTTTATATTGTTCGGTTTTGGTGCTTGGTATCTCCACTGCTTTACTGTTGTTACAAGGATTACAGCAAGTTAAATAATGAATTAAATAGTTAATTTTGTATATACCGTGCATGTTCATGACTGGTTGGTTGTCAAACGTGTGGATGCAGCCATAAGGTAAAATACCATGAGTCGCAAAGCGCGGGTTATTCGGAATAGCCTAACAGTGCTATTAAAATGACTGTGTATTGTCCAAGTGTGGATATCTTTTTAAAACTTTGATAGATTTGAACTTAGGCGACTAACCGTGTGTATTTAACTGTTTAAACATTCTTCTTATACTTAAACAGCAAAACATTCCCCGAAACCATTCTTGTAAGTCGAATAATCCTCTAAGTGTCCTCAGTCCTCGGTTGGTACCTCAACCTTACTGCCATTTTGGTTGGCTAAATAACCCGAACTACTATCGTTTCGTACATGTAAATTGCCAACTTTTTTTTAAAATACAGAACCTTTAATTCTAATAAATAATAGATCTTATTTCCTCTAGTAGTCCATCACATTTTTTCAGACCAGCTGTACAGCATTTGAAGACAGAATAAAAAGATAAATATTTATTTATAACTGCCATGTCGAACCTCGTATTAGTCGATGTTGAAGAAAGATGGTGATTAGGGTAGAAATGCACAATTCATTTATTTTATTGGATAATCCTATCGCAAGTAATTTATATAATCGTCAGGATTTTTTTTTCATAAATATGCAATATTTCAGAGAATTAAAAAGTTTTGAAATTATTAGTAAATAAACATGATAAATGGCAATATATTGATAATGTATTTTTTATCACCCTGTACATGTAGGGTGCACTGTATATCTGGTAGAGTTTTGAAATGACATTTGTTTAATCATAAAATATGCTCTAAAAGTAAAGAAAATGCATGTATCTAATTAAATAAACGAGCATGCAATGCCCAGGGACCTATATAGTAATATACTAATTAAATAAATATGACATAATTTATCAGACATGTATGCACCATATCTTGTAAAATATTGTATTGTGTCATAGAGGATGTCCTATTACACACCTTAAACATACACATTGCCCAACCACCCTGTTATATGTGTTAAATATTACATGCATAGTTATGTAATTTGTTGTGTGATTTACATTTGTTGCACAGTACTTACATTACTTAATATTCTATATTACATTGTTTAAAAGAATTTATAATTATTTTAAAAATAAAGACTTGGGTCTCTTTATTCTGGAACAGACAATAGTAACTAATTTAATTTAGGGTACACATCAGGAATATAATTTCTGTGTCTGTGATATAGTTGGTTTGGCTTTTAGATCAGTCTCTGTGCAGTGTCTAAAACTTGCACTACTCCAGTGGAGAGGATGATTCCTCTTGATTCTGGAGTCAAAAGATCAAGGTTATGATTGCACCATATGGATATAGAATGAAAAGGAGAAGGTAATGAACATTGATCAATTTCATAAAGACAACAAACAATACAAATCTAAAAGCAGGGCATAAACACAGACCCCGGAAATTCCAGAGGTGGGATCAGGTGCCAAGGAGGAGTAAGCGTCCCCTGTTGACTGGCCACACCCGCTGTGAGCTGTATGTATTGATCAAGTAGATGGAACATTCCATAGTCAAATTTAGTATAAAAACAAAGGCCTAACAATTGGTATGAAACAAGTCGGCCAAAATACGACCCAGTGATAGGTTATATTTGCTAACAAGTAAATCACTCTACACCTTGATTAAACCTGTGTAACAAATTTATTTCCTATATAACCTAATAATTTCTCTGTAAACCTAATTACACTAATGTTTTAAACTATTGATTGATTTACTACATGCTTCAATACATCGTGACATCATGTTGTATGGGGTTTATTTGATATAGAAACTATTCATTGTGATGTCACATTATTCAATTTTTAACCCCCCCCCCCCCCCCCCCCGCTTTAGCTGTTTGTACGGAAATTTACTCTCTGGCTTGCTAACCAATCAGATCTCATGTTATAAGATACATAGGAAATAATTAAGGACTTTTATTGAAGGTTATATAAAGATTTTTTTCAATCCAAAGAAACATGAATGATATCAACTGAGGAAATGAAATTGATTGTTTTGCCAAACTTTTTCATTCATAAATATCTCTAAAGCTTTTGAATATGATCCATATATACTGCCCTACTCATCTGCAAAAGTGGGCACAAAACTGGTTGTTACAAAGGAACTTGGAAGTACTTAGTACACATGGACTACTTGGGAGCTACTTCGCAGTTCGGATTACTTTTTCTGTTTAACACGACAAATTGCTATATTGGTTACAACCAAAAGATTTACTTAAAATGCTTCAGTTATATAATATCATTTGGTATATTGATAGTGATACATCAACTTTGTTTATTTATTAGTATGTTTGCAAATACATGCAGGCACATACCTATGCTAAAGTGTTAATTCACTTCGATTTTTTATTATTTTAATAGATACTCTCTATTTTTGAATTTCTGATCTGTTCCTAGAATGAATTTCATAAAATTTATAAATTCATTAAAAATGAATGAACTTTTCTGCAATTTCAGTACCAGTAAATGAAGCCAGGTTTCTGAAATTTTCCATTTTGACATTTCTGAACAATTTAAATTGAAATTAATTTTAATTATGTATATAATATCTTGTAGTTAAAAACATCAAAAGAATTGTTAAAATGTATATATGTAATATAAACTAATTGTGAACTTATTTTATTTAAAATATATGTAGTAATGTGATTAATGAGTGGTTGGTTGGTTAGAACTATTAAATTTTGCATCAAAATGTGAATACTTGTTGGTGATTCATGAAACAACTCATTATCTCAACGTAGATGGGACTGAAAAAACTTTGAGATATCTCAGTATTCAAGATATCGAGGGTTTATTTCTTAAAAGATAAGTGGTTGGGACATCCAGTTAACTTGCACATATCCATGGTATTCAAGATATCAGTGTTTGAGATACCAAAGTTCAATGGTATATATATTTTCTGTGACTGAACACTTGGAATATGTGTAATACACCTGTAATACACCTGCACAAACATGTTTTTAGAAAATAAACACTTATTTAAAAAAACACTATCTAAAATTACAGTGTTTTCTTCTGACAAATATTAGGATTCAAGGAGGCTCATTTATAACTATGAATGACTAGAAAGGGTCAATAGTTCAATGTTGTAATTCCTTTTAGCTTGACATTTGAAATTTAGAGTAAAAACATTAATGTTTTATACTCAATTTTTATAATATTCTAATGCTGCATATATGGGCTAAATGTAGCATGAAAAAGTATAATATTTTATCATCTATGGGACTATAGTCATATGTTGTTACCAACCATAAAGCCCTTTGGACTCGATGGGATTTGATCACACAACCAACCTGTATCTGTAACCCCATGGTAATTTTAAAGGGGATGGAATAAATGGGTCAGAAATACTTAAGCTTGTCCCTTAATAACCATTCCTTTAGCTCTTCTATCTGAGTATTCTTAGCTTTAAATCAAAAGAAATTGAACTTAAAAATCCAGCTGTTTTACAAAAATTATACAGTCCTGTATCTTTATATTTGTAAAGGAAAAAACAAAAATGTGCAGATAGTGATTGATTGTTTGTTGTTTAACGTCCCTCTCGAAAATTTTTCACTCATATGGAGATGCAACCACTTGCCGGTGGAGAGCTGCAAATTTTGTCCTATACTTGGCACTTACAGCCATTGAGCAGTGAGGGATCTTTTTCATGCCAGCACCTACTGCGACAAGGGACCTCTGTTTATATGGTCTCATCTGAAGGACCGGTCTCCACGTGGGATTTGAACCCGCGACGTAAGGATCAACTTCTTACTCCGCGACTCTAGAGCAGACGCTCTAACCACTGCACCATGCAGGCGACTGCAGATAGTGAAAACATTGACAGGGTATGCGATATATGGTAGAGTCAACATATTTAGTGCATGTTTATTAATTTACCATTTGTATGTGGCATAAAGGATAGAGCTTTTGCTCCAGAGTTGCAAAGTAAGGAGTTGATCCTTACTTCGTAGGTTTTAATCCCATTGTGGGACCTGGAAACTGGTCCTTTGGATGAAACTGTAAAAAGCAGGTTCTTAGTCGCAGTGCTGGCACAAAATATCCCTTACTGCTAATGTTAACAGCCATAAGTGCTGAGTACAGGTCTAATTTTGCAGCCCTCCACAGGCAAGTGGTGGCTTCTTAATATGAGTAAAAAATTCTCGAAGGGACATTAAATAAACAATAAAAAAAATCATTTTACCAAGGAGAGAAATTAATTGTTAATAAACAAAACATATCGTTTGACATAAACAGATTAAAATATGAAATCTAATTCAATTTGAGCAAATATTTTTCAAATGTAAGAATTATCAAAACTTCCTGAGGTACTGATTATTTTTTAACTCTCTGAATGAATGTGATGCTTGAAATTCTTTAGAATGATGACTTATTTTAAGTGCATTTGGATGATCATATAAGACTTACAAACAGTGTCTCAATGAGCAGCAGTATTTGGTTTATGTGACTACATAAGTAGTGCATATAATCAGTATCAATTGATCTTATAAGAGGCTAACAAGCCATTTCCTCTGCTCAAAGTCACCGGCATGGTGCAATGGTTAGAGCATTTACTCTAGAGTCAAGGAGTAAGGAGATGATCCTTACATTGTGGATTCAAATCCCATAGCGGGACGTGGAGACAGGTCTTTGGAGGAGACCGTATAAACTGAGGTCCTGTGTCGCAGTAAGTGCTGGCATGAAAAAGATCCCTCACTTCTCAAAAGCCATAAGTACTGAGTACAGTTCTAAATTTGCAGCCCTCCACTGGCGAGTGGTGAATTTTCAATTCTCGAAGGAATGTTTAACAAATATGGAGATCACTTTTGTGTTTTGAAGATGAAAGGTAAGGAACATTAAATGAATTGAAGTGTGCAAAACTACTAATACTAACTCGAGTTTTACAACAACAAATATAAACAATTCCATTATCTCAGTATTCCATTTATAAGTTTCTGAGAGTTTGTTAAGTTATAAATACTGAGTATGGTTGGTCTTGTTTTCTTGATCAACACCGCTTT